TGAGGAGAGGAACAATGTCAACCTCGAGTACGAGGGGTGTGAGGGTTTTCGCGCATGCTTCCTGCACTTTCCTCCCGACCTGCACTGAGCCCACGAAGATGATCTGGAGGGAGAAGAAGAGTCAGCGAGATAGGAAGGGGAGCAGAGAAGGCAAGAGGACAAGGACAAGGGCAGGAGGCTGGAGGACAAGGGCAGGAGGCTGGACGCAGGACGCAGGCTTTCCTTGTCGGCTCCTCCGGTGATGAGAGCTTCTCCTGCCTCTCCATATCCCGTGACGATCTGAACAAGATTGCGCGGAGCCCCTGCAAGTGACGCGGAACCAGGGTGAGGGTGAGCTGAGAAGTTGACGAAGGCGACAAGGAGAGGTGGAGGGGAGGGATGCGAGGAGGCAGAAGGAAAAGGCAGGAGCGGGAGGAGAGAGAGAGGGGGGGAGGAGGAAGGAGGTTGGGGCTGACCGGCAGCTTGTAGGCAGAGGTCGATCAATCTGCCGTAGAACTTGGTGGACCAGGAGGCGTACTCAGACGTCTTGATGACGATGGCGTTGCCCGCGAAGAGAGCGGCGGTGAGAGGGTTGAAGACGTTGTGGAAGGGATAGTTCCAGGGAACTATCGCCCCCACCACTCCCACAGGATGAAACTCAACGCGAGAGGTCTTGTGAAGGTTTAACAGCCCGCTCTCCCTCTTCTCCGGCTTTAGCCATCTCTCCCCGCTCTTCTCCAGCCATCGCAACTTCTCGCAGGTCGTCAGCACCTCTCCCAGCATCGCGTCCACCTTCGTCTTCCCGGAGTCTCGGCAGGCGACGCGCACGATGGCGTCCATGTTGTCCGTCAGGCATCGCAGCATCGTCCGCATCAGGTGCCTCCTCTCCTCCCATGTCGACTTCCTCCATGCCCCCTGCGCCTCTCGCGCCGCCTGTATCGCCTCATGCACGCGGGCTGGTGTGAAGGCCTCAACCACCCCGAGGTCATCCATGGTGCAGGGGTCCCAGCACTGGATCCTTCCTGCCCCTCCGTCCCGAGGATTTGCTGTGCGCGGATCTAGCTTTCTCCGACCGTGAAGGACGTCCGTCTTCTCTGCGTCATCCTCGAGAGGAACCTCGACCTTGGGCACGGGACGCTGAAGGAGAAGCTTGAGGAGGAAGTAGACGATGAAGCACGCAGCCTGCACAAGTGACATCAACTTCCCATCCTCGCCTTGTGGCCCTCAACTTGCCATCTTCCTTTCTCCC